CACTGCACCACGTCTGCTCCATAGCGAATGAAAATGTGGGGTTGGCCAGGTCGGATACCGATCCAGGATTTGATCCACGGACCTTGCGCATGTGATAGTGCGCCTTGTTGCTACCACACGGCCTTCTATATTGGGTGCAATGAGGAAAGATTTTAGAATCAACTGAGAACATTTTTTACGGACACTGCACCAATGAGTATAGTAGCTTTACTGTATTTTTCGTTCTCTTCAGCTAATGAATTTTGGAGTATTTATAATTGAGGAACACTGTTCTTCCCATTACACTTCCTTGCAATCATTTGCAAAAAAAAATATTTGGATGACTTCACAAGTCATTTTTTGCAAACTCTGCCATTTTTTCTAACTGTACTATCTGTTTTTCTATCATTGCCACAGCCGCTGTGGAGTGAATCCTAGTTTTTTAGCCAGATCGGGTCCCAGCTCACTCGTGCAGACTTAAATCATGTCGTAAGCTGCACGGACTCGCCTTTTCTCTTGCAACGATGAATTCCGGAAAATATCGTCGGCATGAATCGTCTGAGGAAAACGTTCGAATTCCACGGTACGATTAGTCATAACGATTCTGTTGCTGTTCTCTATATTATTTTGAAGTCAGCTTTTTTATTACTATTTGAAATGGGATTACTGGTGAAACCTTTTTTCTAGGTCGGCATAATTAAAGGCACAGTTCACGATAACTTCTAGGTTTCTGTTTTCATACGAATAATGGAAATGATATTTCGAATATTGCAAAAGTGTCGAAGAAAACGTGAAAATCGGCTTATTTAGAGAAACATAAGATTTCAAAAAGAAAGAAAAGTTAGGGCTTCGACGAGAATGTTACGGAAGAAGCTGCATTGAAGGGGTATTTGAACGATTTTCTATCTGTTCTATCCGTTTTAATGTGCGCGCCATTGCATACAGCTGGCTGCAATACGCTGCCTGCGTGCAGGGTATGGGTCCCGGTGCGAACGGTACAACCTCTACAGCTTTTGTGACGCTTAACAACTCGTCTGCCTTGGGTGTGTACGTCGGCTGAGCCGGTTTTGGGGCCCTTACATATTACGCCCTATTTTGACTTCTTCAACCCGACAGTGTCGCTTAGGCGTCACAGGCGTCGTGCGTCACAGGTTTATCCCAGGGTTAAATCTCGGAAACCATTTTCAACGTGAACTGTGCCTTTGACATACCATCTTTTGGGAGATTTCCGAATTCCGCTGTGATCACTCTGATCAAATATCGATATTACTGTTAAAAAATCGAATGTGTTAAGTCACGAGAGCTTCATAGTTGCCTAAACCCTCAGAGCAACGTTCCTTAGCAGATTTCTTTATTATTGAACGGTTCGATTTCAGTTTTTGGAGCGGTGCCATGCAGTGCCATTGCATTTTGTTGCAATTTACTTTTCGTGTAATCGGGCTGTCAGAAGTTTGAAGATGATAAAATTATATAAACAAGACTGTTCCCTTTTCATCGTTAAGTTGTAGTTTGCAGTAAAGGAAACAGATATCGCGGTAGAAGTCAAGATTTGCACTTTTATGTCATTCTGCAGACGCTGCTTTTTCTTTCATGAGCGCCATTTGACTGCCTTGGAGACGTCTTGGGAATGGCTTCGATCAGAAAAAGGTCTGCGCTTGGCTTTATCTTCGGAGGAATGCTTGCCTGTGATTTCTGATTCCCTCCGCTTGTGTCAACGAGATCGAGGCCGTCAATCTCTGTCATACAAGACTTTGATAATAGATGAAGTCGAAGGGTTGTAAAGGATGTGGCAATGTCGGGGAAACTGTTGAATGGTCTCGAATTGAGATCCCCATCAGTTTGCTGTCCTGTTCCCAGGTGGGGACTGCTCTTGGGAAGTCAACCCGATAGATATGTGCAGTCGATTCATTGTATAGGTCAAGTTCACATCTAAAAGACGTCATCACTCGGATTAAACGTTGAGTTCATGGCGCATTTCTCGTGTTACAATGTTGAAAACGATTTTCGCGAGAGTTGCGTCATTTGTCGGCGATAACTTTTCTTCAGAGTAGTATGACGCTCTCAAGTGATAAGAGTGCCAGGTGTCGAGTGTTTCGTTGTCGGGATATCGATCCTGTCAAACTTTTGTAAGCAAACTGCTTAGTAATTTTTCAGGAGCTAATCCGCCTCGTTAGACGGCACTATCAATTCGTTGAAAGGAAAGTGTTGTAGTAGTCTAAGAAGTTGGTCGATAATAGTAAAGTCATTCGGTCATGTTGAATTTCAAACAAAAGCCGAAATATGTATTTTGGCTATACTTCCTGTACCGCTGGGCTAGCCCTACCCTGAATAGCTTGCCGAGGTCATAAGGTTCGCATTTGTTCGATTGGTATGTTTGATTGACTTGGTTTAAAGGGGAATTTGTAAGTTTGTCATATGTTAGCACACCCCTACACTTGAAGCTTTCTTGGAATGACTCGACGTGTATTCCTTTGTTGCCTAGCAATTATGTCTTTTTTCGGACCTTTATGGGCACTTCGAGAGGAACGATGACGAAGCTCGATGATGCGGCCTAATTTCTACATATGCTACGTCACAGTTTCGTGAAAGCTGGGTTTCAAAAAGTTCTGAAACTTGTGTTTGCATAACTAGTAACTGCGAAGTTTTTTGGTCTAACGTTGGCTGTCGAAAGGGTCTGGATGGCGTCATGTCCGGATCACCAGACTGAAAGTTACTACAAATTTTTGAATAGGTATACCTAGCGGTAGGTAATGTGTAGAAATGGGGTGAAAGGGTAATCTAGGAGGTCTAAATTGCTTGCCCAACAAACCTCAACAGTGGAAGTGGTAAATCGGTCCCCAAGGTTGCAGAGGTTTTTAGGATCGCTGACAAATTCCAGGCCTAACTAAGTTTGAGTAATGATTACTGTAACTGTACCCTATGGTTAATCGGCTTTTGTCCGCTTTTGGGGTGTCCCATGAATGAGGTTGTTGTTGATTTGTCCCACAGGGCTTTTAGTCCCCTGTTTGTCCCCCGAGTGAATGTGTTGAGTGTTCGATGATAAGCAGACAGATTGCTGCGTTCTCATGCCGACTGTTCTTTTTTCCACTGCTGGGGTGATCAATCGAGAGGTCGCCGGAGTTCGCATCGCTCGTTCGCGTTTCCAAAGAACTACTGCTTCACATTCCACATTATGTATGACTCATTGTGTAATAACTGGTACAGTAGCGGCACGACAACGACATTTCACAGCTTTATTACAAATTGCAAGAAATACACAAAAAAAGAAACTAAATAGGCTTCTGATTTCTATGCATAGCAAGCACAACACGTTAACGAACATAAATTGTAATGCAGTTTTGCTTTGCCCATAGTGGATGACAGTGTTTCACGATTAGTGTTTTATGTGTCGTTGATGACTGATGTTACGGATTGTATGTAAAAAAATCATATATAAAAAAGTAACTATTTAAAAAAACAACAATCAACATTACAGTAGTAGCAGCATGGGGTTACTTTGAAAGATTCACAAAGCAGAAGCATTAGAATAGCTAGCTGCGAGAGAAGTGGGGGGAATTGAGTAGTAGTAGTATGTAGTAAGTTATACATCTGTGTATACGTGCATGATAAGGGGGGACGAGGGGGACGAGTTAGCAAAAAGGAATTTTTTGCTCTGGGCCAATGCGTATGGAGTGTGAAGTCAGTCAGTCTCTCTCTCTGTCGGATTTACAGATCATCTCGATTAGGTGCTAGTGTATCATATCTAGAACCATGCATGGATGAGTGCATAGATGATGGCACTGAATTGTCACCAGCAGTACCACCACCACCACTGCTACCACCACGATTTAGTGGTATATCTACGACGGAAGGATCCTTTTCACGGACGGAATCGCGTCCGAATGAACTGTCGCGTCCGCCGTACACACTGTCACGACCGCCACTTCCGACCCCACCACCATAGACCGAATCACGATCGCGTACCGATCCGCCGTAGACCGAACCTGTATTAATAGAAACTATTTTGTTAAAAACTACTACGTACACGTGAGACAAGTTGTAGTTGTATGCCAGTTTTATAGTAATGTTGTTGTGGGGGGNGGGGGGTGGACCGGGTGGTTGCAGCTAGCGTAGCCCGTCTAGTACTACGAAAACAACTAGCAGTCTTTTAGAGGAAAAAAAAGCTGATGAGAGCAGTTATCAGTAAAATGTAGTTGTAGTTGTAGTTGTTGTAAGAAAAACTTGTTGGTTTTTAGGCACTCGGTATAAAAATCGAAGCCGATTCTTTAGGTGAGTGTTTGCGTGTCACTTTAGCAAGTGGTACGGGTGTTGGATCACTGTAGGGTTTTTTAGTCGTGATTATCACTTCCATACCAGTATCGTCAGCGCCACGGCGACTGTATGAAGTTGTGGAATCTCGATAGTCGACTAGAGTTCTGTTATGTGTAGGTGTTGATGTGCCAAGTGGTGGTGTAAGAGGATTTGATACAAATGTCGAACGTGGAATAAATCTGAAAAATGTACAGAGGGATTATTCGAATTAAATTTGACATCATACGGTTCCACCATTGTCGTGTATTTGCCACGACGTGGTAGTTACAACCGATCGATATCGTGCCGATCGTGCCCAACGGGTTGTACATGGTTCTTACCCGACAGAACGGCTACCACCGTGTAGTATATTATCAAGGCCGCTGTCACCATAGCTTCTGATTCCGAGTACATGTCCTCCAAGACGTCCGATATCGTTAACCAATGAACGATCAACAAAATCTCTGAAACCGGGAGATTTGCGTGATCTCGTCCGAAAAAGGGCGTGTATACCGCAACATACCTGCGTCGTCTACGTTCTCCATCGAGTTGATCACGAAGGATAGCAATCTGGTCTTCGAGTTGCTTGATACGGTTTCTGTGGGTTCGTTCGCGATTCTCGATCACCTTCTCGATCTGAAGGGGAATCACTTGGAAAGTGGGAATTTCGTGGGGATTTACAATTTAACTCACCTGGCCTTTCTCCTGACGCATTCGCTGAAGTTGTCGTTCTTGTTCTTCACGTTGTTTGTTTGTCAGTTCCAGGATACGGTTGCCATTTTCCATTTCGAGTTGGGCGATCTGAAAATTCGACATTTCCATGGGTAAACAAGTATGTAAGCAGTAAATACTTTACCTGTTGCTGCAGCTGGGCACAGTTCTTGTACAGTTCTTTATTTTCACGTTCCATAGCGTTGAGAGATTTCTCAATAGCCTCACGCTGCAATGCCGTCTCACGAATCGCCGCCTCAGTACGACGTTTTTCGGTTTCAAGCTGAAATAGTTCCAATTATGGACGGTGCCTATGATTCAGCTTTTTCCTGGTTTACCATCTCGATCTTCTTCTGAAGCATATATTTCTCCTTCTTCCAGTTTTCAAGGAGTTGGGAGTTAGCTCGCCGGTCATTTTCAAGCTGTGCTACGCGGCGTTTCATTTCTTCCAGTTCCTGAAACGGGAGATTTCAGCAAAGATCAGGAAACAATGGTGGATTGAACGGCCGGATTCAATTTTTATTAATTCGACAAAGTAATTGGTAAAATTCGATTCACCTTTGTCACGGCTCTCTTGTCATTCTTGGCAGTATCCAATTGTTGTCGCAGTTCATTTTCAGTGCTGCGTTGTTGATTGAGATTCTGAAAAAGTACTTACTTGTTACTGAGGCTACTTTTTACAAAATCAACTGAAGAAATACCTTCTCCATTGTCAGAATTCGGTCCTCTAGACGGTTCTTTTCCGAGTTGGAATCTTGCAGTTGACGTTGTAGCTCTGATGCTCGATTATTGACATCGTGTACACGTTGTTTATAGTCACGTAGTTCGGAGCGCAGATTGAGAAGTTCGGATTCGAGCTGTGTCTTACGCGTGTTTGTTGTGCTCAGATCATTTTGGGCATTCAATAATTGCTCTTTTAACATTTGCAATTCATTGCCAGACTTGCTCTGTAGCTCCGTATGCTTACGCAGCTCGATCTCATATGATTCAGCTTTCGCCAGATCTCTTTTCAATTTTTCGGCATCATCTCGCATATCTTGAACCTTAGTCTCGCTTAGACGTAGAGCACCATCAAGCTCTTTCACTTTTTCCATGAGACTCTGTAAAGGATTGCTTCAATTTCAAGGGGATCCATCTGAAGGAAGGGTTTTTACTGCTCACCTGTCTTTCGCTTTCAAACGAAGAAATCTGCAGCTGCAGTTTCTGGGTGTGACTGTCCTGTTCTCTCATCTTGCTCTCCAGTTGGAATCGACTTGCATCCCAACTCTCCTCTCTATCTCGCAGTGCACGAATGTCGGCATGAGCATTTTCCAGATCAGTACGCAGATTCTTGAGTTGTTCCTGAAATGCTTCGATTCGTTTTTGGAAGTTGAAATTATTTTTTCTTGAATCTGAAGCTATGGAGATACTGACGTTGAGGTGTCTGAGTTGAGCCTCTTTGCCTCGAGCTTGCAACTCGGCGGCCACCATTTTCGACTTCATCTGTCGACGCTCCTCATCGCGCTGTTTAAGCGCTTCTTCCTGGGAGCGAAGAAGCTGCTTTGCAGACGCCAATCGGGCTTCCAAAGCTCGCTTATCTGAAAGCGGATTAGTTCACTGAGTGAAGGAGCCGCGGCTTATGAGGACACCCGATTTCAACGTGACTGCTGTGATCGTTTTTGGTTGCGGAATAAATATTTCACTAGAGTTACTTCATCCCCCGCTGGGTTCCCATACTAATACCCATCGGCCAATCCCATGAACCCCCTGGTTCGAGATGTGATTCTGGTCCAAAAAGTGTTTTCGTATTTGGGTTGGGAGGTTCTAAACCAGAGACTATTCTTTGGGTGTCTACAGCTAGGCCCTACCGTTAAAAGACGAGCCCAGTAAGGAGGAACGGGGTTTTTATGTCGGCTCAAAAGAAGATTTGGTGGTTCCACCGAGATTTTTGAGTTTTACAAGTTACTTACCTTCTTCAATGTCGTTCAAATTGTCCTCAATCGTCTTATATCTGGTCTCATGCTTGTTGATTGTCGTGTGCGATTCACTCGTCTTTTTGCGCAGACGATTCAATGCGTCTCGAAGCTCATTCTGAAATGCAGGTGGCACCATCGATGGGAGAGTCTCAGCTGCCTGGGAATAGATGTGTTTACTTACTCGTTCCAACTCTAGCTTATCGATTCTTCCAACGAGCTGCTGAAGTGTGTCTTCGAGCTGAGTAACGTTGACGGTGTCGTTGATGTTTACAGTAGTAGTGCCATTCAATGTGGTAGCTACTCGACCGCCTGCTGAAAAATATTTCCCAAATGGACGTTCATTTGAGGTTTTTAAGGTTATAGACTGGGAACTAACCGCCTGTGTGTGTACCAGTGTAGTCGATGCCGACTGGGAACGGTACAGATCGTGGATATTGCACTTCATCCAGTGGTGCACCAGAACCTCGTGGGATCTCAACATCTCGTCCAGCATCAATATGATCTCCTCCATCAATCGTATAACGGCTGATGTTGATCACACGGTTGGCAGAGTTCTGAATATGTCGGGGATTCAGTCACACATTCAATTTCTATGACAATATCAGGAAACATCAGAGAGACGGCGTGTACCTGGAATCTTCGCATGGCGTCTGCCAGTGCATCTCGTTCAGCGTCTGCATTGATAAAGTCTTGTTGTAGAGTGACTAGACGCTGTTCCGTTCCTTCTAATCGTGACTGCAGGTCGCTGATCTCGTATTTGCGACTTTCTGAACACAAAAAATGTTTAGTACTCCGACTACCGTAACCAGTAAGCAGTAAACAGATATACCGAGCTCTTGGAGAGCATTCAGTCGGCCATCTTCAGATACTCGGTGTGCATTTGCAAGGTCATCAAGTGTTGATTGATATTCATCAGTCTTTCGCTGCATTTGCTCAGCTCCAAATTTGAGCTCTTGTTGAAGTTTACTGAGCTCATTACGGAGAGCAGTGCGCTCGGTATCGGCAGTGATCAGCTAAAATTACCTTGAATTATTTCATCTTACTACAACCAGGACAGTACTTGTATGAGCCTAAAAGTAACTAACCTTGTCGGAGGTAGTTTGCAGCTCCTGACGCAATTTCTGTAGTTTAGAATCGAACTGCTGTGAAAGTTGTTGGAGGTGATCGGCTTGTTTAGCTTTGTCTCGATAGGCATTTTGTAGACGTTCACGCTAAAAGTGTAATCACTAGGTAAAGTAAGTAAGTAAGATTTTTCAGGGCCATACCTCAGCCTTGATGTGATTCAGACTGTTCTTAAGCTCTTTGAGTGTGTCCTCAGCAGTCTTCAGACGATTCTTATGACGGGCAAGTTCCGACTCCAAGTTAGCGTTAGCGCTCTTTAGGACATCGTTCTCACGTTGGACATTGTCCAGCTCACTTCTCCATTTGTTGGCATCAATTTGTAGTTGAGCATATTGCTCTTCAAGTGAGCGGAGGCTGTAACATACTACTATTTACCTAGAGTTTTTTTCTTAGGGTAAAGAGTTTGCATACCGATTAGTAGTGCTCTCGAGATCGGATTCTTTTTGCGTGAGAACGGATTTGGTATCGGTAAGCTCCTCCTCAAGACGTCTGACTTGTGATGTTACTGAAGTAATTTTTTAGGTATTTATATAGTAGCCTTTTTATAAGGGTCACTTACGATCGCGAATCTTGTTTGTACTGTCGTTGACGGTCTTGTTGAGATGTTCGATACGATCGTTGGCAGCTTGAAGCTGGGCTTTGAGACCTGTGTTGGTGGTCTCAAGCGCTTTGGCCTCCGACCGGACTTGGTAGGCATCAGTTTTCCATTTTTGGACTTCCTGTAACGAAAATACCGTACTAATGCTGATTTTAACAGGCTCTACTCAAGGTTTACGTGCCTTATCCATCTCATTACGGAGATCCTCCACATCGTCGCGCATTTTCTGATTCTGAGTGACCAGCGTGGCTATCTTTGTTTCACTGTCACGTAGTTCACGTTCAAGATCGTTTTCTCTGAAGCTCATGAATGCTCAGAATACGGTATGTAGTGAAGTAGTAATGCAGTAATGGCTATTTCAAGCCGTTTGTCTCAGACGATTTGAAGTGTCACCTGTTGAGAGCATCTGCAAGTTGCTTCTCCAAGTTTCGAACTTTTTCACGAAGGTCCTCCTCCACAACTTTGAGGTTCTCGACAGCCTGAGAGAATTTTGCGATTTTTTTGAGGACTGTCTCCTGAACTAGTTATAACTTACCTTGGCATATTGTTCTTTTTCGTCATCGAGATCACTGAGGTGCTTATCGTGAAGTGAGCTGATCTCCGAACGGAGTTTGTCAATTTCAACGGCATGTTTACGTTTCAATTCAGATACGTCGTTCTCTTGACGTTCATTACCGCGTCCAATCTGAGCCAGCTCATCCTCCAACTCACGGATACGACGTTCGAGATCGTCCTGAATCAGATGGATTTTTCTGACGAAGACTTGGCGGGATTCTGACGCTCAGAACTTCGAAATAGTTACCTTCTCGTTTTCGAGTTTCTCAAGTTGCATCTTCCATTTGTCATTGATCTCTTTGATACGCAAGTCGGAGAGTAAATCGTCGTGGTATCGATCGATAACGGTAGTACGTTCAATGGTAGTTGAACGATCGGTATCGGTCGAGCCTGTCAATGCAACACTTCGTGCACAAATATCGCTATACAGGAATCTATTTTATAAAAACGGTCGCTGCAGTGCTGATCGACTAATAAATAGATAAAGGCACACTGTACAGATTAGGAAATTGACTAATTCATGCTTTTACTGGTTTAACTAAACTAGTAATTTACTATAACTAAAAGTAGGTGGATTAAGTAAACAACTATTGCATGCACTAACCGGGAATAGTTATTTCATCACCTTCGACCGATTCGCCGGCACGAGTCGGTTTGAATTGGCCTCTTGCCTTGGTGACATCCTGAGTTTGTTTCTCTTATTCCTAGCCCAAACATTAACTTACTACGTCAGCTGTGAAAACTAGTTACCTTGACTCCCTTGATTCTGTCACGCAAATCACGGATCTCGTCCTCGAGGCGCTTGATCTTATCTGGAATTATTTCAATAGATTTTTATAATTCGGGGTCCGATACCAGTAATTCTGAATTTGGGTCAACGGTACTTACCATTCAACTCATTGATTTCATGCTTAGAGTCTTCAAGTTCCTTGGTTAACAAGTTAGCACGGTTGAGTTGTTGATTGTGTGCGTCACGAGCACGTTCCTCCTTCACTTCAAGGGCTTTGTTCTCATTGCGAAGTTTTTCGAGTTCTTGCTCCAACTTGCGAATCGTTTCTTTCAATGCTTGAATATCGGCATCAGCCTTGTGCTTTTGGCTGAAATACAAAGTTCAGGATGAATTCATCCACGCTTGGCAAGAGTAGAACCGTTTGTTGTGAACCTAAAAGTGCGCGGCGCACTCCTAGAACACCTGTGATTGGACAACTATTCACGTCAACCAATCACACGTACTGCGCGCCCCTAGACATTGAGGCCCCCAACAAACACCCCGTCAAATGCGAAAAACAAGCGGTAAGGCCGTGCGATGCCCCGTCAATTGTTCCTTGATAGTCCCACTTAACTAGGAAAAAACCCCTAAATCTTCAAATGGGACCAATTTGGCACCTTCACCCCTTATCAACTGCAGTGCATGGCTTTGAAATTATTTAGGCCATGATGTACATACTTCATGATCTCCTGTTTCTCCTTCTGCAGCTTCTGATTGAGATCGTTGAGTTTTTCAACTTCACTAGTTCTGGATCGGACTTCGTTCTCAAGTTGTGTGATCTTGCCTTGTAGGTTCTTGATTGTCGTGTCAAACTCATCATTGTGACGTCTCAGGAGCATGATCTTCAAATGAGAAGTCTCAGTCAGTTACAACTAGGAGTCAACTTACTCTTTACTTACTTGTCTCTCGGAGTCATCGATTGTCTGCTTGAGTTTCTCGATTTCGTCATTGAAACGGCTCTCATTCTTGGTAAGGTCTTGGGTGGTCTTTCGTTCGGTCTCGAACTTATGACGAATGTCGAACAGCTGACGTGACAGCTCATCCTTTTGTTTCCTGCAAAGCGTTAGATGATCGCTGATTGCAGATGAAATTGGCTGAAAATGTTCACGGTATGACGTCATAACTTACTGGTAATCATCACGTTGTCCTTTGAGTTCCTTGAGTTGTTGTTCGGCTAGATGGGCAGTCTTGAGCGCATTTTCGAGATCATTTGTTAGTTTGTCATGGTCAGTTGCCAACATATCGTTACGTCCACGTTGGTCATCAAGATCACGTTGGATATTACGGCGAATCTCCTCGATGTATTTAATTTGGGAATCCTGAAAAATCAATTTTCCGTATATCGGCTATAGTATATCGGCTCATCTGGGGTATGCGCTGTAGTTTTTGGGATCGTTACATGGCCGTTGTGAAGCGTTTATGAACGCTGTGTACACTAAAACTATAGGATCTCTGATGCTGTTCACATTATTAAGCTGTATCGATTTTACGCGGTGATCCCGAAAACTCCATATGGCCCGTCAACGAACTTTTTCATCAAGTCGACGCAACGTGTTGTTGTATTCGTTCTCCATGTCGCGGAACTTATCCTTGAGAGGAGCCATTTCTGATTTGAGCTTGTTATTTTCACGGAGCAGGTTTTCCACGCGTCTGTTAAGCTCGTTGATCCTATAGAGAAATAAGAATTACGGTATACTAAGTTTGGTAGGGAAGATTACGGTAACCACCACCACTCACCTATTCTTATGATCCTCAACAATGCTGATGTTCTGCTCATCCAACTCGTCACGAATCTTTCGCACGTCCTCAGTGGTGGACTTTTGATATGAACTAAAATTTTATTGAAGGTAGCCCCAGTAGTTCTTAAATAGTTAAGTTTTACTGTAGTTACTGTAGTTACTGTAGGAACGTACGCTTGAAGCCGTGCGAGCTCCTCTTCGAGGAATTTCCGCGCCTTATCCGCCGCTTGGCGTTCAGATTCGGAAGCACGCAACTTGTCCTCGACGCGACGAAGGTTTCTCTCCAACTCATCGATCTGCTTCTGCCTAAAAGTAAAACTTTTTGGTAAATAGGCCTCCTTTGAAGTATTACAAGTAATACTTACTGGTTGCTAATTTCTCGTTTAGCATCAGCAAGCTGTTTGTCAAGTCGTCGTCGAGTTTCGTCAGCGGTTTCGAACTTATTCATGAACTCTTTCACCTATAATATGTCACTCCACAGTACTTTCACATTTTTAATAGCAGCAATTCTGAAGTTACAGTTGGACGTCGACGTCGACGGAGTTCTTTGGTAGGGAGGGGGCCGTTAACATCTAACGACCTTCTGAATGGCTCTAGTTGATGGGGCCCAATACATAACAGTTTTTACTTTTCTACAATTAGTTTTATTTCTGGATGTTATTGTCACGCAATGCAAAAATTAGCTTGCATTTTGTTTGACTTTCTGTCTGTGGATGTCTAGCTTAATTACTTTAGCTGGAGGGAAGGAGATAACAACATTAGGGGACGATAATCACCAAAAATTAATTTTTGGCTATTTCTTACTAGTTTTTTCTTCGAAATCAGACTTACCTGGCTCTCGGAAATCTTAAGTTTTCTCTCCAGCTGTTGGATATCATTATCTCGGTTACGTAGTGCGTTTCTAACCGATCGAAGAGCTTCAGATGGTGGCAATGGCGATTTGCCTAAAAGTGGCGAATGTATGTGATGTGTTGTTGTGCTGGTTCAGTTGCCTCGGCTGCCCCCTCTCTCTCCCTTTTTTCCAATCAATAGGATGAAAGAATGTTTTGTAGAGGGTTCCCCGTCGGGGAATTTTCCAATATTTTCCAATAAGTGTGGAGAGGAATTTTGCAGATGAATACATTATTTTGGGATGAACAAATGTAACTAACTGGTATAACTAACCTGGTGACAGGGAACGTGTACGTTTCTGACTTCCATCAGTTAGACGTTCATGATCCTGGCTGAGTTCGTGCATTTTTCGCAACGCATTTGTACTGTCATTGAGTTTCTCCTTGGTGCGTCGCAATTCCGCTTCCAAATCGGCGATCTTCCTCTGGCTTTCATCACCCTTAGATTCGAGCTCGATGTTACGCTCAATGGATTCCTCATATCTGAAAGTGCAAACCAAAATGATTTACCAATGGATGAATAGATGTCTCATATACTGCAGTAAATCTTATTATCGCTAATTATCATGTTGTATCGACGCTCAACACTACTCACTTCAACATGAGTTCCTTCTGCAACTCGGCGTCTCCTTCACTTCCTCCAGTACCACGTATGGCTTTTAGTTCTTCCAGTAGTGCACGGTCTCCGGCACCTGCATCACCGGCAGCGGCTCTATCACGATATCTTTTAACAGCTTCAATGATGGTAGTATCGTAAGTGGTTGCGTGGCTATCTCGTGTACTTATGAGGTCGGTTAGTAAAGTCGCTAAAGACGGGCCACTGACCGCCGCGGCTTGCTGAAATTAAGAAATTCCATTAGTTTTTTGAAATGAAGCGGAAATAATTTAGCTCACATCTACCCCTGCTACTCCTCCTCCGACGGTAATATTGCGTGTGATATTAGATACACTTCGTAGCACGCGATTGAATTCGTTACGTTGTGCATCCAAATCACGTTCCGTTTGATCCTTGAGTTCAGCGAACTGTTTACGAACTCTCTGCAGTTCTGTCCACATGTCCATCATCTTCTTTTGTTCATCGCTCAGATACTGCGCAAGGTTCTGGAAAAGTAGTAATTAAAATTTGCGTTTCAGCGAGTATCACACAAAATAAACCATTTACTCGTAAAACCTACTCGTTCTCGGTTGACGAAAGTTCTCTCTTTATCGCGATACTCACGATCGTAGCGATCAAATTCACGACGTAGTCTCTCGTTTTCGTCCTCCAGACGTTCCTTGGCAGTTCTCTCGTTTTCCCATTGCAGACGATACTCATCAGCGCTGAAATGCATGGGTTGCTCATTTAGGAATTATGTCGTCATCAAACGTCTTCCCATCTTCCCCATGGGTCCCCCTCTCTAACCGTCTGCGTTCCTCGTCCAATCTGGCAATCATCTCGTAGTTCGCATTTGGATCACCAGCCACTACGATGTTTGTAGCGGCACCACGTGTACGAGCAGGACTCCACATTTCGATGTCACGGCTGAAAAAAAAANAAAAAAAAATGAAAAATATTAGCAAATATTTATTCAGCAGGCATGTATTGTCCACGATTAAACAATGAATTTCGATTGAACCGAATGATTTTTATAACTTACAAGCTGTTACTGGTATCCTGGAACACGTTGGAATCGAGGATTGTAAAACCACCGTCGTCAGCCTGTCGTCGTCTCGCGCTCACCATCTTACCCTCCAGTTCTGCGATGTGTTTTCTGTATTCGTGCACCTGTGAAAAGACAACAGATTGTGGAATTCATCATGAATTCTTCAGAATGCTTCTGCTGATGAATCATCCCAACCTTGCTCTGCAATGCCGCCATCATTTCGCTGTACTCCTTCTGCTGTTCGACGTTGTTATCGATACGCTGACGGAACTTGTTGAGGTCATCCTGGGTTCGATCGAGGCGATTCACTACGGCACCACGCTCGAAATCGAGGAGGTCGTCTTCGAACGACGATGTGTTATGGTAGTTGTTCTCGCCCGATGTGTCCCTGGAGAACTCATCCCTTCAAATAGAGCGCATATAATCAAGTTCTTTGGCGACACTAATGGCACTTACGGGCTCAGATTCAACCTTGTTGTACAGGGTGATCCTGGGCCACGACAAGTGCCATAGTGCCGGCGATTGCATGCATGCCACAAGCCACACCATCAACAGCGGTCCTTCCGAACTCACCCTCCCCGTCGACTGCTTGCGTCCACGTGTCCGCAAATGAAATTGCTCCCGTCTGTTCTCTCCGGGTGTGTGTATGTGTATATGAGTGTGTGTGTATGTATTTACGTGTGGGAGAGCTAGTGCTGTGTAGACGTGTTCCGTCCGCCTCGTTCATCCTTGAGCGCGTATACTTTGTTACGATGTTTTTGTTTAACGTCGTCGCCAGCAATTCCTTCTGAGGGGCTGTTTTCGAGCGTTCTAGCGCAAAGCCATAGGCATAAACAGTTGCCGAATTGGGTTGTTTCTTCGGCTGGACAACAAAAAGTCCGTCCGTTGTCAGCCGGTCGTTCGTCGAGGCGGAGGGCCTGTAGAGTTCAGGCACACGATGCTCTCTCTCTTCCCTATGATGCTCCACATCTCCCCGCTATTCTCACTAGAAAACACATCTCGGCATGTATATGTGGCAGCAGCACAGAGCGACATCGATTTATGCCTTCTGCAGACGCGAGGCGGACTGCTGCCGGCATAGAAAAGTATCAAGCGGCAGCCATGCACATCTGTCACGGCATAGAACATCAGATCGTAAAACTCAAAACTCAAAAAGACAAAATTCTAACAAGTATGGTTGTATACAGTAAATAAATATTGAAACAAAAGCGTATACAAGTAGTAGTAGATGGAAGACGGACGCACCAGTTGATACAGTTCTTGATTGAGGGGGTTGCGGGTTGAGGAAATAGTACAAGGTACTGAGGCGGTGAGGCAATGTGTATGCATGCAGACGTAACTCACCAGTAAAATTCGCCATAATTCGAACGCGAGCCCGGACTTTCGGGAATTAACTCTTTAGCGCTATCGCTCGAAGGGATATTTATTGTTCCCCCGCCATCGATACTGCTTCTTGTCTCGTCGTGGTCCTCCATCCTCGATCGTCCTGAAATCACGGTATAAATTAGTATCACTTAGTATTACGGTTGAAGATCATGTGCACACGACAATCTTTATTTGAAAAGGATCATCAAAAATGATTATTCTCTAACAAAATGCTCTGACGACATAGATGTTCGACGTATACGAGCACATGCGAATGCAGCAAACAAAAAAAATCTGTGTAGGGGTGTGTATCGAAGCAAATGAGCAGTGATTGTAACAGAACAGTGTTTTTAACAATGCGGTTCCACAACACCACTTCCACTTCATGCATATTATATATCACCTTTTCGAGATTCACGTTTTCGTCTTCGTTGTCGTTCAAAAACGTATTCGGCTTCAGACGGTGTAAGGGGACGAACGGATACTCGACTTGATATACGAGTCCACTTCCCAGTAGTGATATCCTCGACACGTACAGCCGGTGAATCGGAACGGCTTGGTGAAGGTGAACTAGTTGATGCGGCTGATGACGATCGGTAGGTTTGTGATGATAGACTGCGATTTGCAGAGTCCTCTGATGGTAGACTATCAGAGACAATTAGCTTTCGTCCTGGTGAACTGCCGCTAATGCCGCAACTGAAGATCATCCAACGAGCACATCAGCATGCTGTAAGAGAAACGCCGTCACAATGGACACTTTGTCCTGAGCGGTGCGAGTGTTGTAAGTAGTGAGATGATGATGATCAGTCAGTCAGTCTCAGTCACTCAGCGCTCTCGACCCTAAGTACGAATATGAACAGGGGTGAAGGGAGTACTAGTTTATGGTAGTAGTCAAAGCTGCCTATATGGTAGTTGGCTGGTGGATGAGGATATGTTGTCAGGCGGAGCCCCATCGACTAGGCTAGCGCTCAGCAGGGCACGATTCAGTGAATGGCCACAATGGTCAAAAAGAAAACAGCGGCAACCTTGCATTTCGGATATGTGCCCAGTGGCCCGTTCAGTGTTACGCGCCTTCTGGGTTGAACACCGAAGTTCTCATCGGCTACCGAAAAAAATGGGGATGGAGGAGGATTCTGAGGCTGTGTAGGTACTACTTCAGTCTAATGACAATAGAAGGGGTCGACACAAGGGAAGGAAACGTGCTAAACCAAGGTATAAGGTTTCTAAGCACAGATAGTCAACACATAAGCAGTAAACACATGGACTGGCTGAACCCAGTCCAGTGGTGAAGCGAAGGAAGGACAGGGAGAGGAGTCTAAGGCGTGACCAGGCGAAATTAATTTAGGGAACGGAAAAAAACGAGGAAATTACGACGTCTATACAATGAGAGCATGAGGAAGGAAGTCGTAGTAACAAGTATATTTACTGGTAGCGTGAAAGATTTCGATGCGTGCAAGATGTGATTGGTTACTAAGCAACTCGTCTACGAGGTTGACGGTGTGGTGTGAGATCAGTGCAAGCCCAATCAAACCCTGTCTCTCTCTCCGTTCTCCCCTCCTATCGTACTTATTTATTGCAGTATCGTTTTTTCTGCCTGTTCACTCACTCATTCATTCAATCTCAGTATCTCTGACTACTACTCTGACTATAGCAGTAATGGTAATGCGTGTTTTCGATTTCAATAGTGAGCGGTAAACATGTTTTGAGGAGCGCAAGGTCCAATCCCTGTGCCAGTTGAAAAAGCAAACATCGCCTACTGTTTCTTGTCCTATTGTTGTTGTGATCGGTAAGAGTGCGTGCATGGGTGCTGTGCTGTGGTGTGTGGTGAATGTAATCTATGGAGTGCATTTTTGAAAAAAGCAAAAATGAGAAAAACGAGCGGCGAACGAAATAAACATGCGAGCCTAGAGAGGGGGGAAACGAATGCCGAAATCACGCAAATGGAACTGCAAATTTATAATGCAACGACGTGACATTTCCAACTAAAATCGGCTGCGATCTAGCAGCGGTTGACAAGTGCTGGGCTGGGCTGGGGTGGCTCCACCACCGATGGTGGACGACGACGACGGGGCCCCCGGAGGGCATCGATTCACGTCGTCTACGCCGTCTACGCTGATCCTTTAATGATGACCGATTGTCACTCGGTGTCATGATACTAGTTAATAATATAAGCAGATTTGTCGTGCGCCCGCCCGAAATCGTTTAGGGGATAACCCGCCCATTGTTCCCCTTGATGTGTGATGGAATGCATTGGAATGTGTAACTACATCAGTGTTAAGTTGTGAAGATGTTTTTGAGCACCCCGACTACCCCCAGCAATTAGCACTTTCATAGCCACCAGGGTTTTTTTGATGGATGCCACTTCTGGGTGGCCGTCGTGGCCATAGTGATAAACAAGTGTTGAATTTACGACTTTGTTTGTTACTCGACGACGGTGACAATCTTAAAAACGCATTTTGGAACCGTCCTTGGTGCTACCGTAAACAAAATACTTGACAGTAAGTAAGTGAGTAAGAGGAAGGAAGAGTTCAGAAGAAGAAGGAGATTGGAATGATTTTTCCCGAAGAGTATGCCGAGAAAGGCGAATAGGCAATGACAATTGTGGTGGGATGGACGCGAAGCCATTGCAGCGCGACTCATTTGAGCCGAGAATAGAAAGGGCAATGAACGATGAGTTGGAATGGGTTTTGCACGGACTTCCCTAATGGGTGGCTCCCACGACTTTCCAGAAAAGAGCCTAACTCAGCGGAGTCACTTTCTGGAATGCAAATAAAGTTTTTATTTGATGATGGTGGTGGAAAAAATCAAAAATTGCCTGGGAGACTTGCAGAGGGAGTGAACTGAACTGTTTCTCGCTATACGACTCAATTGCCAGCGATTAATATCCAGATGGGTGTGTCAATTCTATGCAAATGAACGTGCAGCAATGGCTCGAAGCAGATTGTTATCGTGCCAGGGGCGTGGTACTAGCTAGCTGATATTAGCAGTTGATTGAATTTCACACATGCATTCTTAGAAGCTACTAAATGCTAAAAATAACGTGAGCCTAAAGATTGTAGAGAGCTACGGCATGGTGGGTGGTCTGGACTGGTTGATCGTAGGTGTCTGGCTGGCAGAATATCCTATTAGAGGAACACCCAGCTGGCATTGAAGTACTATGGTGGGTGCAAAGGCACAAACAACTTGACTAGTAGTGGAAAACATCTAGTACCTCTCATGGAATATGTGAATAGAATAATAGAGCACGGAAATGAGTTTTTTTTTGGATCAAAGCGGATTACTAGTACGGTTGTTATAGAGATGAAGAGGGCACAGAGAAAGAGCTTATGTCTTAGAGATGAAGGGCCATTCTCATACAGAGTTTTTGATAGCCGATGAGAAACTTGTGTGTAAAATTACTGAAAATAAACCAGTTGTTCCGGGGGCGAGTCAAGTTGAAGGGTGAGTGGCCGCCTTTTTCTGGAGGCAAGCGGTCCGGGTAAACTAGTGCTAAGCCTACATCGAGAGGGTGTCTTGAGATGCATACCTGTGAATATGGTTGTTTGATGAGGACCCCACGAGGGAGCGTGCGGGGTGCAGTTTGACGGGTATTGTTGCGAGGGGCAGACGAGAAGGCTGCATTACCGGTTTTCGCGAGGTTGCACGAAATAATTACAGGAGAACCACGCTCATGGATGCATACAAAGGTAACATTCGCTAATGATTAAACGAAAGGTATAGGATAGGTTTCATGCAGCGATAAAAGGGTTGATGAGGGGCTAAGTTGAGTGCGGGACCGGTGCAACAACACCAACTAAGACTGATGGTGGGTAATCCTGCACCACGAGGGCCTTGTGGGAATGTATATACCACAAGTAACTGGAAGAGGGGGGTTACATTTGAGGACCGCCCTTGTTTACTGCATATCGATTTACCGTGAAAGTCGACATGCAAAATGGGCCTGCGCCTCGTTCGCGATGCGATGGAACTGCGGTGGGCGGATCTGTTTTGACTCAACGACGGCGGGCGGCGCCGCGGCTGCCGACGAAATTTTTGCCGCGTCCCCCTTTTATGTGTTCTTCTTCAACTCTTTTCATCATTGTCATTGTATAGTTGCTTCTACGATGATCATGACATTGTCATAACCATCATTTTAGCCGTTCAGCAACTGCTAACAGTACGGACGACGACATTCACGACATTTTCAACGCCTATACCCTCCTCTGTCACCAGCAGGAGGATGCGCTACGCGGAAATGAATCAACCTCACGTTCCTAGATAGAAATTCCAAAATAAAATCAAAAATAACAAAATGTGTGATAGTGTGATGACTTGATGGAATTCCATGGTCTGACCGAAATACCATTTCTGTTGCAGGGTTATCTTTCCGAAGCAGGTGCGTCACTGGTTGACAAAAAACTCGGACTGAACATCGTACCAACAACGGCACTAGTTGAACTGGCAGCACCAACATTTTACTATGGACGTATGGACAGAGCAAAAGCCAGAGCTAAAGAACGTATTCAGTCAAGATATCCGGATCTTGGTCGACGATTTCATCGAATTGGTCTACCTCCAAAGGTCGGTCCAAGCTGTACAAATTGCTCTTTTCAGCTGTACAAGCGAAATCGATACCGTCGTTGTTCTAGACGGACGGATGGCATTTCCCCCACCCCACTGTATGCCCGGGTTACAGATTAGTGGTGATGAGGAGGGAGGGAATCATCGAACGGGGCGAACGGTTCTAGCCGTCGTCATGTGTTCATGTTCAGGGATTATTTCGTTCTCAATCACTCATATGCACGCAATAACGCCGCCGGTTTTCAATGATGGTTTTGCTAAACCAATCGGATCGCTATTGCAACGATTGCTAGAGCGACGACAGTATCGTCTCTATCTCTCGTCATTTTAAAGATATTTTCGATGATTTCGAGAGTTTATGGGGGTAGAGCAGCATAGAAGGAGAAAGGATAGCGATACGTGTAGTCGAGCAGCAGGTCGTCGAGTTCTAGATGAAGGGGGGCACGGTGGAAGGGGGAGGAGTAGGAGGCGTAACATGTTTTGTTGCGAGCATCAAGGGCGAAAACAGATACAAAACTAAGTACCGAAGGGTCTTTGCGGGTTGAAATGAAGGCCAGTTTCGATGGGGGGAGACGACGTGAACATCACAGACACACGATGATTTGTGTTGCCGTCTATCCTCTTGTCCGATACACAACAAACGGCTGTGTTCAAGTAATACCGTAAAAGAACTACATCGCCGATGTTGTGTAGACGGTGATTTTTGGTGCCCCGTCAAGTGAACTTAGTGTTTAGACTTATATTTTTCTCTATGTGGGGGGTATTAGTGCAAAATGCCAGAGTAATCTATTTTGGTAGTGGCTGCGAATCGTTGATCATGTCTAGCGATCTGCTCGACAACGCATGGGGTGAGAGTGGTGGGAGTGGAGCAATTTGAACCAGTCAATATAGTCCGGCACATTATGACTCAGTGCATCCTGTCAATTCGTCGAAAAATTTAATATGTTCCCCTTCTGAAATGTGGCGTATTACAGCACCCAGATGATGGACCAAAGAAAAAAAAAACTGCTTCCAGATTTACTCTCGCCATATGTCTCGGTTTGTGAGAAGGAGACAAATGGGAATGGCTTAGAGTAGATGAGCTGTGAACAGCAGTGATGACAAGGGGAGAAGTTGACCCCGCAGCAGCCAGCGTTCGGACCGATCAAATTACTTGAATGCGCCAAGAATACACAAACATTCAAAGAGACATGGCACAATGATTGGTTGTTATGATTTTTAGAAAGGCAGTTTCCAACTGTTCGTCACTGGCTATCAGGATGCAGCCCATTGGCTTCGTATTTGGGACAATTTCCCCGAACAAGCACCACCACCTGTCACTCAACGAGAATTCCAACTATTGTTCGAGAAAATTGTTGTGCTCGATTACGTGATCAGAAATACAGGTATCAAAGTCAAAGTAGTAATGGAAACTTTGTAGCCGTAGAACCGAATCTGGCCCATCATGGAAGAAAAATGTTCAGATCGTGGAAACGACAACTGGTTGATCAAGTACGAACAGGCCGAGGTGGTTGAAACCCCCGTTGTTCCGAATGATCCGAACCCGACAAGTGTGGAAACACAGCAACAGGTACATCTAGAGTAATTACCGTATTGTCAGAGTAATGTTCGAAGTAATTGTCATAACTGGCTAGCAAGCTAGTAATGACACATATATTGACAATGATGTATACGGTGAATTTGTTAGGAAAAACTTATTTAATTCAGCAGCAGGCAGTACCTGATGAAGGCCAGTTGATCGATTTGGCCGATGGTGTCAATCGAGCCTGTGGACCTGAAGGTGAGTAATCCAATTCGTGATGTTCAATAGATACGGAGCTTTCTTCGAGACGTGTAGACGTGACGTTAGAGGCTTGCTGTGAATACGATGATGTTGATCGTACATTGTCAACGTCGACGATATTCGTTGGGGGGTCTTCAGATGCGGACGACGACATGTTGTCTCAACAGCAGAGCAGCAACAGTGCTAGTTCGCGAATCGTCGTTAGTATGAGTGGGCACAAAAGTGTCGGCTGTAGACCACACCTCTTTATACCACGCACTTTTTTATTTTATCTGTTCCATGTGTGTTATGCAGTGAATAATCGAGTAGATTACTGAATTGTAAACAGTGCCGCGACAACGGTTAGATACAGCTGGCATTCTCGTTAACATCCAAAAATACTATGGAAAGTGTCAATCAGGGTTGCCCCTTCTTACCCGACATCCCTCCCTATGAACTGCTTCTGCTGATCATTCACGATCGGCTACAATCTGTCAATTTGAATGATCGTACTTGTTTTGCACTTTTCCATGGGGGGAAATTCGTAGCTNTCAACGTAACCCCCCCCCCCCCGTCTTCCCCCTCCCACTCCCAATATGCATAGTATTCCCATGCTATCGAAAACCAGAAAGGGAATGGGGGAAGCGATTTCATGACATTAAAAGTGTTTAGAACTCGTCGACGAACAACAAACGCGTTCATCAGCTGAACCGGCACCAGCTGAAGTGGAATGGGCCGATGTGACGGTACCAAAGGTGTCAATTGCTGCAATTGATAACGGTCTAGCATTCCCGTTCAAACATCCAGATGAATGGAGAGCATGTAAGTTACAAAATCAAATGATTTACTGGTATCATAGTGTCCCCGGTCGCTCGTAGACACGCATTCCAATCTCACGATGACAACTCCCTGATGACTGGAATCATCGAGAAAATTTATTTGTTCTAAGAAGTGTGCCAATGAATGTGATATGGGGACTGCCGAGGAAACCGACGGTCGTCCTGCTGAACTGGACTCGGATCCTAAAAAAGCTGACACATGACGGTGTCTCCCCTTGGCACTAATACCTGTCTCGATAAAGCCATGTATTATTAGAGGGTATCAAATTTCCCGGAGGACTACCTCTTGAGGGTTCACAATTGAGACTTGAGACGTTGAGCTTGTGTTATGTTTTTGTCGTAAGCCACATCACCTAAAGCCTCCGCAGCAGCACAGCACAGCACAGCCGTCGTGTGTGCTTCCGAGACGACGATTCGTTTCGGTTCAGCCGTTCTTCACAAAAAAAAAACTTCGTTTCATCGTAAACAGCCACCTCCGTTCCTAGCTCTCGGCTGTCTTTTTCCCTCGTAGCGTTTGGTCGGCGATAAATTTGCATACATAAACGATTGTATGTGTTCGGCCAGAGCCATGAGGAAAATGGTAGCCAATATGGCCAGGAAATTCGCATGTTTTTGGTGTGTGTACGTGTGTGTACAAAATGCCATCTTTGGGGCTACTAATATTCCCATCTAGTGCTAGTAGGGCCGCAGAGCCTCGTATATATGTATGTCTGTGTGTGTATGTGTTTTCCCACTTCAATCGGGTTGAATGGTAATGTTTTTGTGAGAAAGCAGTAACATCCGATCGCTTTGCCCTTAGCATCTCTCCCCGTTCCCTCGTATAAACATAGTTTGATAGATTGACGGACGCAGAATTAACGATGGCGACAACAACGCGGACGGCCTGAACGTTCCTGCACTAACATCGCCGTTACTTATATTCCATCCAGGGTTGCTCCCCCACCAGTCAATGCTACTGGCTATCGGGAGCTTGCCCGGCAACGACGATTGAGTTTTACCCAGTTCGTTGGTCGGTCGCCTTCTATCGGCAGCAGCAGCAGCAGCAATCCAACCAAAATGAGACCAGTCTCGTTTCTCGTCATGCAGCGTCGCCGCCACAGCAGCAGCAGCCGTTTGCCTTCACAAATCGTAGACGCAGCAGGGAGAAAGGGCAAAGATCAGGTCTGGTCCCAGACGGCTGGCTAGTCATCAACTACAATGCCAATGTAAACGCGTTCCATTTTTTTGGGGGTGAAATTCACTCCCGGTTATGACCCCCGTTCGCAGTAAACCAGGGTTTCTTTTGGTAAAACGGCGACCAAACGCAGCAAGCTGGTTGGTGGGGGTTTTCTGAAGCTATATGGAATGCTAGGAAGTCGGTCGTAAACGGGGCGCTGACCTTATCTCGTTGCAAATGTTTCTTTCCGAAGGAGGCTTGCCATTGATCGTTACTGCTGTTTCATGCATATTCTAGTACATTAGATGTATGCAATCACGCTAACTGGGCCGAATTTCTAAAGGGGGGCGTCAGCAGCGCGGGACAAAACAAATGTGGGAAACGAGATTTTGTTGTTGTTTACTCCTACAACTAATGCTACTACTGCTATTGTTTCTTTAGAAGCAATAAAACAAATTACCGTATATAACTGAAAAACTGTGTGATAGTTGTAGAGTTTCCTCAGCCAGTAATAGGTTGAGGTATTGAGTCTTGGATACTGGTTAACTGGCTCCCTATTGCTCCTGTAATGAACATATCAATCACAACTGGTAATTACTTATGAGAATTGATTTTGGGGGTTCAAGAAGAGAAATGTGTCGGCAAAGATATGAAGCACTTTGTGTCAAGACTATGAAAATAAATGGCGGACAACACAAGGGATGAGGAGATGTCGAGGTAACTTGAGACGTAAGCGACTGAAACGAAAAAAACGGCGGTTGTTGTTGAGCGCGGCGGGACAGAGTCCGGCAGACAATTGAGCTGTCTTAGTTGACAGCGATTTACACAGTAGGAATATAAGTGTTACATTAAGTAAGTAAGAGCAGGCTTTTGTTGGTAACTGGCTTGACACTGAAGAGTGTAACCTTGAAGAATTTATATGATGGGGATGATAGCGTCAATCAAATGAGAATAATTTGTCGAAAATAGTCAAATGTGTAATGTAGAAAGCGATAGGTAATTAAGGTGCATATTAACGTTGAAATAAGTGTGACAATGAAAGATTCGTGTCGAGTTGGAGGTCGATTGAAGGGGGGGTAGACGGTCGGTCGGTCGTCTGTCTCTGGTGGCAAATTGAGATGTGCGCTTTTGACGAGCGGGGGGGACCGACCGAGCTATGATGGCGGCGGTGGTGTGGGGACGCGCGGGGCAACAAGGGAGGACGGGGGGCTTATTGCTGTGATGACGCCATGATGACAAAGGATCCTATCAAAGTTTTTATAGCTTTAACAAGTAATGCCGAGAGACTGGTTTTTGGGTTTGCGGGGGAACCTTTCTCGTGGCGTGTTTACACTACGCGTATACTACAGTATTTATATTGTAGATCCATTTGGATGGGCCCTATTGCCAATGGCTCAGAAGCCGTTCAGTGAGGAGACAATCAACGCGATTCTCCCGTTGCTCGATGATACGAATTTTGTTCGGGAACTTGGCGAAGAGCTGAAACAGGTCTTTAAGGTATGGGTGTGTGTGTTGAGGACCGATTTGTTCATTGATAACCGCTAATAGAATTCCAATTAAATTTGCCGTTTCAGAAGGATAAAGGTTTCGACAAGAAGATGTTCGAACGTCAACTATCGGTAATGCGTGGACAGATCTTCAATTTGCGAGAGGCCCTACGTACAAAAAAATCGCCTTACCAATTAATTCTCGTACGAATTTCTTTCATTGTTGAAAGTCTAAATGCATACATGAGGTAATAATCATGCATTTCTACTGAGCAGTAAGAAGAACTCCATCATTTTGTAGAGCGCTGGGCTGTTGAGAGGTGGGAAAACGAGGGGGGTTCATTGTGTCAGAGCTAGAAGACTGAAGTCGGTAAGGAATGGAATTGACTTGGATGGATGTGGTCTAGAGTTTTTGAGCTAGAAAACCGCTCCCTCCTAACTCTGTTGTTTTCTTCTCTCTATTGATTCTGGTGCAGCCAAGACTCCCCGAGTTTCCTAACTTACTTGAAACCTTCACACTGCAGATGACCCTAAAGTTAGCTGTAGGATGTAGTGCTACAGTATGCCGTGTCAACGAGGGGCAATCCTGACCCTTCAAAGTTCTGAGTGACAGATTTGATCAAATAGGGTTGGTATAGGGATGAAGCGTCTAAGTGAATGTGGAATTCTTTGTGCTTAAAAGCATAAATCTCCATATTTAATGGATCGTAGGAATCGATCGGGAGTTGCTAGTGAACGGCACCGAAAACACATAAAATACAAAGGACACCATGCAGTTATATTAACCAGTATAGCTGTATATTTATGCTGTTTATGAAAAACCTACCCTGCCTTGTGCCCGAGGATTTATGCCCTTTCGATTTACATAAGCGTTTTATCTCTCAGCAGATCTTTATCCCCTACTTGTCTCGACATTACTAGTAATATTCAGTTGGGATGGGCACTCATTGAGTGTGTATTAACTAAAAACAGTCAAGGTTTCGTACGACTTACTTCGTTCCCCCGACAAAAAACCTCCCCGTCGAGGTCAGGGAAGTCCTTTGATTCATGGGCAGCCCAGCATGACTTCATGTCTGCTGGGAAACCTCTTAATCTCTTTAAATCGCAGTGCAAAAGTGCAGGTTGTTCAATGCCTGACAACAGGGCGGTTTTCGAGATTGTTCTCATAAATTCAAGTAACCTTCAAGTAGCTATGCTGACCAGTTTCTTCCCTTGACAGTGGGCGGCGTGCGCGAGGCTACCACCCCACACCCATACAGCTGCAGCTGTGCTGCTGTTCCCGGGAATATATGAAGTGATGGAAATATAAGAAGGGTCGAATGGCATTTGGTGTTGGTGGATGGAAATATGCACGTATTTTCACCAAGTGACTCATACCAATGCTATATGGGAGATTCTTTTCAGTGAAACCAAATTTTATTGTATTTTATTGTATACTCGCCTCGCCCTATACACGCCGATTTTATACGATGTTTCAGATGCCTGCTCAGTATATGGTAGAAGTGAAACAGAAAAAGCGAAGGCAGCGTTTTCGTTCAGAAACTGAAGAACGAACAGACAATGAGTGTAAGTTTTTCGAAGCATATACACTTCATAATGAATGAGTGAACGAAGGAAAACAACTGAAGGGGCTATGGTGGCCAGCCAAATTGGCGACAAAAGTGCTCTCTGTGGCATTTAATTTGCTCAGTGCTCAAATATGGCCATCCAGTAAAAAGTGTGTGTTCCTCCTCAGTAGTGAAATACACATTGACAGCAGGAGCAGCAGTAGCGGGAGCAACAGCAACAGAGCAACAGCGCAGTGTTCACCAGCAGCAGCAGCCTGAAAGCCTTGCCATAATGCACTTTTCTATGGGGGGAAAAGTCTCGAAGAAAAGGGATAAGTGTGGTGATGTAAACATTTGCTCTGTCCCTGCCCCCATAGGGGAAACATGCCTAAGCCTGCCTATGTGAAATCGGCTGGTGAAATTAGTAGGGAGCGAGGGGGACCGATGCTGTTTGTTTGTGCATGATGCACCACCAATAATTCTCTCTTCGACAACACACTTATTATTATTACTAGTATTATTGAGGCCCCCAGTTATGGCCAAGCGAAAAATTTCTATAGACCAACGATAGTGGGCTGGCTAGTCGCGTCTGTGTGTATATGAAGTGGTTCGTAGGCTCGGCTAGGCCTATTTGGTCATGGAGGGAAAGGCTATTTAGCTAATCGTGCCACAAGAGCTAAAACGCTTTCAGTAATGAATCTTCTTCCCAGTCGCACTTAATGTGATCACTCAGAAGCGAAAAATATCTTGATAGTTTATTACTTGGCTTTACTGGGAAGTAATCAAGTGAATTTTGTTTGTCTGGCTAGGGGTTTACTGGTTTTCCATGAAAGAGAGGGACCTTACTACTGCAGTTGAAGAGTAGTTGAACTTGTGAACATGCTCTTTANCTAAGTAACAGGAATGTCAGTTTTTTGTTTGTTAGTAATAGGACGTCCTCTTGGTCGGGTGTAAAATGACGGCTGAAAAGTTGGAACAGCAGGAATGTTTATGTGACTCGTTCGACAATATGCCTAATGCTCGTGCACGAGTTTATTGAAAACCAGTAGTACCAGAGATTACGAGTAACTGCGAACATCTTAAACTAGTTGAAATACTTTTTTTCGAAGGGAAGGTTGTGATTTTGAGAGCGAATCTGTTAATGCAGATGGTTTTTTTCTTTTTGGAAAAAAAACTTTGAATTTTGTGGTTCATTAAATATGCTGCTCCATACAGACGTCGTTACAGACGTATGTAGGCGTCTGTCTAATGATGAATGGGGGTCTGAAGGGGAAGGGGGAAAATGGAAAACATACATAAATGTTCCTCCCGTTAAGATATCGATGATTTTATGCTTTTAATTGCGTCACATGCCGGCCGCCCGAGCTCATACGTTTTTCAATGGCTTCGGAATTCCAAATTCCTTTCATCATTACACTCCATCTTCGATTAGAGGGCCCCCAGCAGTGTGACGGCGGCCAGAAATCGAAGATGGAGCCTAAATGGAGAAAAATTGCGAAGGGGCCTAATTCAATTCCACTCCTGATCCCTCCCGTTTTTTTTTGCTCAATCTCAATTGCTTGAAGCATTCTCGAAAACCGATATTTTCAGTCAGCCGGGCTTTTCCCTGAAAATTCGAGGAAGGGGTGTCGTTAGACGATCTTTCTAGGCCTGTATGACTTTTTAGCGCTACATATCTCTACGGAATACTGTCTAGACTCTGATATTTTTCTGATTAGTTACCCTAATGGTGTTGTAAATCAAAATCGACCGACGTATACGAGCGATAGTTTTTTCTAGTCCAGGATTACGTCCACGTAGAAGTTTGCTGCAGCGAGAGATTTTTATTGTTAATTAGGAATGCATCGAAATCTCATTAACGGGAATACTGATTGGTATTGCGTAAATGATTAGGTTAATCAGTCTTCTGTCAGTTTTTGATACGACTTCGTGACCTATTAGGTGTTTGCGTGGCTTCTGTAGGATCGTTCCACGTGATTTTTGTGGGGCTTTAGAAAAAACTAAATTTACTTCGTCGAGAAAGGTTACGTCATCCGCGAACAGTGGATTCGATACAGAACAACATTCTCTGCAACTCCGAAGAATTTCTTTTTAGTAGGCCTGGTTGTTGAACACGGGGATGGGTATATGACGGATGACCAGGAGGACTGGTATTTGAAGTTATGGTTTTTAGAACAGAATCGAATAGCATGCAGTAAAGTAGAAACGGCTGTTACAAGGGCGTTTAATGGACTGTGAGAATGGTATATGATGAAAACGGTCAAAGTATATGTCATAATGTTGGATATCGATCGACCGCGTCAGTTTGCATCACGCATCCTGCGCGATCCCAGACTTTAGGGACTTTCGCGCGCGTTTCCAGCCTGAGTACTGGTCCATAGGACCTAAGATTAATCTTGATATTTTCTTCAGTTGAGTCTAGCCCCAATTAAAAACTCTGGACCTTTCTGCAAAACAGCCGAAAATATAAAACGGGGAGTATAAGTTTTTTATAGAAATCATTGAACATCGATTGGAAGTTGCAAGTTGCAAATGACAAAATGGCACCGACAACAAGTAGAATGATGAGGCCTCTAAGGTTAACTGACAGGTCTTTGTCGAAAAGAATTAAGGAGAGGTTTAAGTGAAGTGCTGAGCTAGCAAGTGCTGATAAAAAAACCTTTCAAAGTTTTATGTTTCGCTTGAATAGAGCTTGCGGCTGTGCTTGTTCTGCGAGTTGTACTTTTCGTCTTTACTTCAGAGTACTGTTCTACTAGAATCATTTTAGAAACCCTTCATAGTACTGCGCTGCTAGTATTATTCGAGAAAAGTTTCATGCAGTGAATCATCTGTACTAACAATACCCTCCTGTGACAGCAAAAAGTTTCCGCTTTTCAATAGTTTTTTACTCCAATTTTTAACTTTTTTTTTGGTAATTTTGTGAGTAGTACTCCCTGAGTTCTTTAAACTGGGTTGTAGTGGTCCTTCTTTGTGTCGATATGAAAAAAGTATTTCCGCTTTTGCGTCCATATGATTCATATTTTCGGCATCTCGTTCTGGCCTATGAATTCACTCGGCATCTGATTCCCATTGTATTAACATGCGAAAATGTTTGAACGGGAACCGGACAGAAAAGCGAACGGCCAAATCGACCGTTAGAGTCATTTTGGATCAATTATGAAGTAGTTGTAGGAGGTGTATTGAATTGGGTTCCACTTCATTGAGCCTCAATCGTTCTGCAGGGCTATAACTGTTCCATGCGACGTTGTTGGTGTGTTCTTACCTGTTTTACCTACTACGAGTTTGGGGTATTGCCAAGATTCAGTCGAGGTTTCACTATTTTCATGGCTTTCAAAGTCAGTCCTTTTATGTGGCTACTGTTAACTGGTATAACTCGGTAGTAAAGTAGTGACTAAGCGGCGAAAGCCGTTGACAACGACGGAAAAGTCGATACGCTTGTCGGAAACGAACACTCTGCCTAGCAACTCCATGGCATTAGATTAAAAACTTGATGGGTCCCATTAAGCTTGTCTGAGAGATCTCAAATTGATTGCAATTGATTATCGATCGAGTTGGTCACGTACTGAGGCGTTCCTGGTCATTATTGCCACTTATCTGTGTTTATACGATTAGTCTACTTCTCATTACCGTTCATTATCCAATTAAATGCCTACCGTATCAGAGCGCTTTTAGTCCGAGCTGGCCAGGACAAAAAGTTGTATAGAC